CTTTTCACTAGACCCCTGAGTGAAGAATGGGCCATGTGTACTACAGGGGGGCCCATTTCCTTTGGGCGGGCCAAGGAACTGGTTCAGGAAGAGTGCTGTCTGGCTCTAGAGTAGCATTTTCTCCAAAGTAGCCAGTTTCCTTCTGCACCGCTTGAAGGATCACCTGGGTTTTGTGGAGAAGTGTTTTGGATTGGCATGAAATGGGGGGGGCGCTGTAAGCTTCCTTTCTGCTCTGAGATACTCCACGTGAATGAAAGGGAGGGGGCTGCGTTTGGCACTCACCGGCTGCTGAGGCACTGGGCTGGGCAGACCGCATGGCCCGAGGAGCTTTATGCATGTGTCTGCTCACTGTTGCACTTTCCTGGGGTTAGTAGCAGTCGATTTTATGTGTAATGATCCATACCAATTCGGAAAGGCATCCTTTTCTTACACAGAGCAGTGGTTTGTCACTTAGGGCAATGCAGAATAGCTAAAATGTCCCTAAAGTACTCTGTTTTGATTTCGAAGCTTTACCTTATTTGAACATCCACAGACTAGTTCTATCCTTCAGAAATTATCCAGGATAAAATTGTTTGTATTGTACAAAATTGTTTGGTTAAGTGGCCTCTCCTCTATTTTTTTGTTCCTTATGAAGAGGCCGAGTCTTCCATCTTTGCCTCTAGCTGTATATGCTTTTTAAGATGCTTTATCTGAGTTCAGATTGTTAGAGAATACTGGCGAGAGTGGAAACAAATTTTTAAAATACCTAGAAATAATTTAATAAATACAAGGACTCTGGGGAGGGAGAGGCTAAAGGCTCATGTATGTGACTTGTTTTCCTCTCTCCCCCAAAAATGAAGACAACAAGCTCTTAAATACAGAGCTGCGTTTCTGTCTGATTGTGATCTTGAACCGGTCCTCTTAGTGGTTGGTGTGGGTGCGTTGTTAGCTTTTCCAACCATTTGGATAGGCTTTTGTTTTTATTGTTGGTCGCTGTAAGAATTCCAAGGAATAGAAAGATCTCTTGGGCAAAATCAATTTGCCTTCTCTTCTGTATGTTTGTTAGTCTACAGCAACTTCCATTTTCCTCTCATTTTCCAAAGTTGAAATGCCTTTAATCATACTGTGTGCTCCTTCTCGGAAGCTGGAGAAGAGGTTCCTTCCTCTCCTTCCTAACAACGTAATTGGAAATTTGGTCACTGCACTAAATTGTAAATTTTGGCACTCCTGTGGAACAGCCATCCATCTGCTGGCGAGACACACTGCCCCGGGCTTTTCAAGAAATCCCTTAATAGTCCTGAACACTAATAATATTTATATACATTGAGATGAGACAAAATTTACAGCAGGCTTCTGGGGCTGGCTCCAGGACTCTTAATCCCACACTTCCTCGTGTTCTGCCCGCCTTCCGGAATCCTCTTGCAGGGAGCTTCAGCCAAGAGAGCACTGGCTTGGCTCTTTTGCTGGAGTTTGTCCTCCAGCAAACAGGTTGCCCATCCTTCCAGTCTCCTCTTCTTGCCATAGCACCCTGTGCCTGTTCCCCTTCAGGAAACAGATGTGTGTTTGTACACACTTTGCATCACCTAACATGAAGAGGAATTGTTCTACCTACAAAGAAGAGGATCCTGCCCACTTTAAATGCTGCTGAGATGCATTTGGAAGTTGCTCCCATCACCTGCAATGAACCTGACTTCTGCAACCTGCGTGTTGTGTGTGGCAAATCTGACTTGACCAAGCAGCTGGTTTCCTTTCACTCTCCCTTTGGGAGGTTTTAGTGCACTCCTGTTCAGACTAGCTGTTTTCATGGAAATGCAAAATATATCTAATAGGTACTTGGTCAAGTATTTGTTTATTTTCCTTCCTCATCCTGGGAAAACACAAATTTACATTTGGATATAGCATTGTGAGCAAGTCCTGGGGACATTTCTATTCTTCTAAATGCTCTTGAGTTTTCACAGGTGCTTAAAGATCCATTTGATCTTGGTGTCTGTTACTAGTCGTTTTTATAGCATTTTCTTTATATTGTGAGGAAAGGGGGGTTCTGCAGTTAATACTTGTCCCAGCTACTCTCACATGGTGACTGTAAGATTCCTAACAGGTTTTCCCTCTCTAGCCACAGAGCATGGTGACAGGATGGGTGAATAGCAGCCCCCTGTGAGGCAGGTGGGGTGTGCACCAGCCTGTGCTGCTGGTACACATCTGGTGAGCAGGACTTTGAGCTTCCTTTCTGCAGTCAGTTTATTGAACCTCATGGATCTGTTATGTTGCATGAGCTTTGCGAGGATGATAAAATAGGTTGTGAGCCTCCTTCTCCTCTTACCTGGTCCCTCTTCCTCCTGTTCTCTTTTCTCTGCTCATTGTGCCAGGTGAGCTTCCTCACGTGAAAATCTTACCCCTGCGTGAAACCTTCATCACCACGCTGAGCTGGCCCCTTGCAGGAACCCGTTCCCTCAGAACATCACAGATTAGTCCCCAGCCTTCTTCACCACAAGCACCCAGTCCTCCAGCTGCAGCAGCTTGTTTGCTTTTCTAAGCATTTACATGTGATTCTGTCTTTAGCGTTCTCTGTTCTGTGGATCTTCCCTGGTAGCCAGGAGCCAGGAAATACCATCCAGTTCTAACTCTGCTTTACTTCTCTGATGCTGCATCCTCCCCTGAGGACTATGGCTGGTCCATGCACACATTGCGTCTGTCCTCACATGGGTGCAGCACATGCTAGATAAATAGCTGTTAGTAGATTAGATGGACTTAAGAGTTTGCAGTTATCCATTTAGAAATCTGAAATCAGTATATTCAATTTCAGAGTTTCTTTGAATCTTGAGGCTTGAAGTGATCTTAGTAATGGATGTATTTGAAATTAAATATTCATTTAATCTACTTAATTTTTTGATGTCTTTGAGAGATTTTATGATGAGTGTGTTTGCTGCAACTCTGCTAGGATTATAAATTAAATTCATGTTACTCTCTGATACAGTCACCTTAGTGGTCAGTATATGTCCCCAACATTTCAGGAGTTCCTGCAACATTTTCTGTGTCACTGTGATCATGGGTGATGGAAGTCCTTGTTATTTGTTGGATAGGTTAGTTTTTTCAAGTAGCCAGAAGTCACTGAGAGCCAATTTTGGTGACTAGGATGACATAAACCAACAGGAATGGTTTTCTTCGCTTGCACATAGCTCTGGTATGCCTTACTTGGGGTTAGCTCAGTTGCAATGTCACACAACAGTTATTGAAATAGAATAAAAGTTTATTTCTCCCATATCTAAAAATTTCCAGAGTCTACTGCACCATCCTTAATGTGGTACCTGATGGTCCAAGATGGCACCATCAGCTCCTTGCATTACTTCTGTAATCCAGCCAGTGAGAAGGAAAACAAAAGTATTCCCTGTAGGTTTTAAGGAGTTTTGCAGGAAGTTCCAGTTTTTAAAAAATGTTGCATATTTATCACCAGACAGATCTGTAGATACGTGGCTCTTCTACCTACATTACCGAGGGAGGTCAACTAAAAATTACCACAGAGCAAAAGAAGAAAAATAACAGGAAGCAATCTGATGTTTCTCCCAAAAGATTTCAATGGAGAAAGTTACAGTATTATTAAGCTTGACAGTATCAGGAGAATTCATCAGTTTTCTTCAGAGGTGATATTGTTCATCTGAACATCCAAGTTTTGATGTCTGTTTATAAATTCACCTATTTGCAGTGAAACAGGAGCTCTGTGCTCTTAGATGTGGAAACTGGTGCAGACTTTCCAGAGGACAGTTTGACTCAGCAAGGTCAGTTTGGAAATTGATCCTAATGAAAGATTAAGGCCACTGGTGAAGATCACAGGGCAGATTGAATAATAAAAAGTTGGGAGTAGGGAAATGTCTAATAATGGGAGACAGCTGTAACTTGGGCTCAACTCTACCATGGAGTGCGATGTTACTGCTTACTGATTGCGGAATTCAGTCTGTTATATTTAAAAAGTGCTTAATGCCTTAGTCCTTTTCACAAGTATTTGTGTTTGTGTGCCTGTGCGTGTGTGAACGAAAGGATGTGCGAGGGTGTTAGCCAAGGGCCCACTTGTGGGAAGGTGGACTTGCATGCTCCTTACATTTTCTTTTCTTATCTGTGATCTCTTGATTCTTTTTACAGCTTGTATTTTTATTTCTAAAAAAACAGAATCTTGACTCATTATTGCATGACAGAGTCGAAATATACATATTTGAATAATTCTGTATTGTTTTCCAACTTAAGAAAGGAAAAAGTAGGACATCTATAATGCAAACCAGATTTCATATTTTGTTGATTTATACTTTATTTACGAATAAGGCAAACAGCCCATAGAGTGTGGTCATTACAGCATTGTTATGGAAACAAATGCCAGCTCCTCTGTTCCAGCTGTGAATCGTGGGTGTGTGGTTAGACCCTGCTTTTGCCTAACAGCACAGAAAGGTTTAGAGGAGATGGTCTCTGATATCTTGTCCCCTGGGCACAGACATGTGTGCACACACACACACACACACACACACACGCACACACACAGCTTCTCCCGATGGTGACCATCTGTCGCTGTCTTGGTGACTTGTGAGAAGTCTGGTAGGCTAGGGACGTAGCTCTGCGGTAGAGCACTAGGAGGCCCTGAGTTCAATTTCCGGCACTGGAGAGAGGGGAGACATAACTAACTGCTGGCTACTGTTATAGTTGTTGTACTTTATCATTAGTTATTATTTATCTTATTATGCCTAATTTGTAATTTAAACTTAATCATAGCAGTGTGTGTTGGAAGCATAGTGTGGCTCAGGCATCCTGTAGAGGTCTTGGCAGGGATCCCAGGAACGAGGGGCCGCTGTATTTGGAATGCAGAGCGCCCTGTGTCTTTGGAAGACCCAGCAAACCACGTCGTGTATGGGGGCTTTCTCCTTCCTTCACCTGCACCTCGTGGCTCCTCCCAGACCAAAGGAGGAGTGGGGGCACGAGGCCGTCCAGCCGGTCTGCCCTGCCCCGCAGCCCGCCATCTCACCGCTGACCTTCCTTCCCAGTGTGCCCGAGCGCCTGCGGGAAGCGCGCGTGCAGCGAGAACAACGAGTGCTGCCACCCCG